TTTCTTTCAATCGTAGTCAGTCGAACTCGTGTAGAGAGATCTCGCTCTAATTATTAATGTATATCAGGCGACAGTCAGGACCAAGATGCGGAGCGTCAACGTTAATAAGATTGAGGGAATCGTCGTATATGTATATTGCTCGGTTTATTGCGAATTGATTTCTGCGGCGTCCGGAGAAAGAAGTTCGCACTTTCCGAAAGTTCGAGATTTTTATACTCGCGTTACACATATATGAGAACTTCTAAAACGACAGGCCAATTACAGCCGTTTATAATTCGGAAGAGAGGCGGTTATTCCTTCGATTCTCTTACGAAGGAGCTCTCAAGTCTCATCAAGTCTACCAAGCGCCAAAACAAATATTATTTTATAACAAAGATATGATATACCACTAAAAGACACGATAAAACCTATAAAAATTGAACAACACAATATAGCCGGTTAGCGACTTCTCTCTATCTCTCCCGAACTACATAAATACTACACAATTTATAAAATATATAGCAATACACGATAAGTTTTACAAAATAAAAATAGATTTTTTATCAAAAATTCGTCTCTCAAAAGTAAATAAAATTTAAAGTACCATTGTGGTGTCTGCACATAAGTTATGTAATTATACACTTCTTAAAATAATATAAGGCATCAAAAAAAAAAAAAAAAAAACAATTGTCCAAAAATAGGCAAACTTTAAATAGTTGTAACTTTGTTTCCAATATGAGAATTTAAATTTTAAAAGAGCGCTTGAAAGCTTGAAATCTCTACTTTCAATGCTTTACAGTTTTTTCATTTTCTTCAATTTTGATATTTTTTATTTACAAAAAATAAAAAACATAAATGGAAAATTTTTCTCACTTTGTAGATGTGTCTCACAAAAAATTGAAAAATTTTTTGACATTTACATGTTACAGCTGAAGTTTTCCCTGCAAAATTGTTTTTCACAATGTAAATGTCGATCTTTCCTTATCAAGTTATCGCAATTGAAAGAGAAAATGTCATTTTCAATTTAATAGTTCATCACACCGTTAAAATCATCGTACAGCAATTTTAGAATGGATTCTTCAGCTGAATCTTTGCTTTACAGTATGATATAGTGACTTGATGAAAAAACACATTATTTTAACGTTTTTACATTCTGATTTCTTTTATTATTGTTTGTTAAATATGTTGTGTAAATTGCAGAGGATTCAGTTCGTACAAAGAAACGTCAGACAACGAGAAAAAAGAAAGTTGATATATTATACGATCTTTGCGTGGGGATGTTCCTTTATGCTTGCTATTTATGTGTCAGCATGGATTTTCTTTCCGAGTATGTAAATGTACCACCGATTTTGCGATCGGAATTTTATTTATATGCTGGTCATTGGTAAGTGAAGATAACTTTATTAATACTATAGCATTCTAGTATTGTGAGAAACAGTATAAAAACTTATGATATTTTATACTTACAGAGACTGGTCCGTATTTGTTGTATTATTATGGGCTCAATAGTATGTGCGTCATCAGTAGCATTTGTTTATCTATTTATACGGCAATAAAAATTGAGCGTTTAAAAAGGAAACGGGTCCTTGTTTGAAAGATTCGGAGAATAATTGCTTTAACGATAATAAAAAATGGTATGTACTCAGATATCGTTGTATTGAGATATGATAATCTATTTTATTAATAAAATTAATATAGTCCGATCGTGTATTTAATTTTAAATTCGAGCTTCATTGGTTGAATGGAATTTTAAGTCAAGATCAGATTTAAAACGATATTAAATATAAATTCAAATTATGTATACTGGTCATAGATTATCATTTGCAGATGATATCTTTCTATTCGCCGATTTACTTTTTATTTTGTAATATTTTTGAAAATATATTATTTTACGTGTTCTTTCGAAAATTTATACAATTCTAAATAACATGATTATTAATAACGAAAATCAAATTAAAGGATGCAACTTTATTTCACAAAAATATAAATTTTAAACACTTTCAAAATTTCTTAAAGTTTATACATTAATTAAATTGTATTCATCATATATATTCACAAGAACTATGAAAATTATATATTTGTTTGCAGGTTTAATCTATATCTGCAGCTATTTATCGTACTGTTTATCTTAATGGGCATACATTGGCTAATGATAACAGTGTTATTATTATATGATAATGAATTAATTTACACCATTATGTTGTATATTGTTCATATACTGATCATTATGGAGAATCTGTGCTTCTTTATCATATTGTGTGTAAAAAAAGGATCAGGCGTATGTTATTCAAGCGATTCGGCTTCGGTTTGTTGCCAAATGCTTGACACGGATCGAATGCAACATTTTCGAGCATTATTACCACGTAAAAAGAAATAATCATACAGAAGAAGATGAGTTCTTCTGGACGAGCAAGTTACATTGATTCAACCGACCTTTAATTTTTATTTGAAAACGGAAATCATGTTTATTTATGCTGATCTTTATGTTTAAGATTAATAATTATAATTCATACATATTTTCGGATTTCGTAGCAAAAGCATATTATTTTGTCTCGTTTCTTTTTCAAATTCAAATAAGGTTATGCTACATTTCTTGATATAAATATTTATAATATTGTTAATTGTAGAGGCTGTTATTATTTTCAATTTTCAATATTTGTAAAACTTTATGAAGCTGCTACAAAATTTGCATATTACTATAAGTTGTTATTATACATATATCAAATAAAAATATGTTCATTTATGAATATTTTGAATTGTAATAAAAATTCATAATATTATTATATTTTTTATAATTTAATTAAATATTTTATCATAAGATTATTGTAACATTAATATTTAAATAATTGAAATTTTAGATTTTTATAATCACAATAATTTGGTTTAGATTACTATTTTCTTCAATATAATTTACATTTTCGTAATTAATTATTAGTTTCAATTATTGATTTTGAAGAAATCAATGAAATTTTTTGTGAAAGATTTTCTTTCCTCATCAAAAGTTGGGAATAAAAAATTAAATAACATTAGCGCAACCAGATCTACTGCTGTTTTTAATTTCTAATCAAATAAATAAATAATTATGACATAACTCTCAAAGTTATGCACGTGGAATCTAAACCGGTTTTGGAATAAATAATTTGTTTTTAATTTATATGTGCATGCATTATAACTAATATGATGATGTATAAGAGTTGGCGAATAATAAACTGATAAAAAGATATAATCTACATAATTTTATCTTTTAATAATCTATTTGTAGTCTAAAGATAACAAATGAGATTAATAAATTTGTGAAATATATAAACTTTTTCGTACAAATGCTTTATTGATTAGTTATTAAAAACAAATTTTTATAAATATTTAAATAAATAAAATAACTACAATTTAATATACATTTAGAAAATAATTAATAACTACAAAATTTTATTATTTGACTTTTGCTGCGTATCAATTTACTTCTTATTTGCTATTCTTAGAAATATAAAGACTCTTCATTTAAGCATTAAATATCTACAAAACAGTCAATAGTATTTTTCATTTGTTGCTGGATTGGTCGAGCTATCAAGAGTAGAAGTTCAATGAGTCTGATATTATTTTCAATTTTCAATATTTGTAAAACTTTAGAAAGCTGCTATAAAGTTTGCAAGATATTACTATAAATTGTTATTATACATATATCAAATAAAATATGTTTATTTATTAATATTATGAATTGTAATAAAAATGCATAATATTAGTATAATTTTATAACTTAATTAAATATTTTATCATGAGATTATTGTAACATAAATACTTAAATAATTGAAATGTTAAATTTTTATGATCTCAATAATTTGATGTAACTTACTATTTTTTTAATATAATTTATATTTTAGTAATTATTAGTTTCAATTATTGATTTTGAAGAATTCAACAAATTTTTTGTGAAATATTTTTTTCTTCGGTAAAAGTTGGGAGTGAAAAATTAAATAGCATCAGCGCCATCGAATCTTCCGCTATTTTTAATTCCTGATCAAATAAATGATCATGATATAACTCTCATAGTTATGCATGTCGAATATAAACCGATTTTGGAATAGGTTTAGTTTTACTTTATATGTGCAGGTATTATACCCTAATATGATAATGTATAAGATTAAACGAATAATGATAAACTGATTTATTCAACATAATTTTCTCCTTTAATAATTTTTTTGTTGTCTAAAAACAACAAATGGAATTAATAAATTTGTGAAATAAATAAAATTTTCTAACGCATGCGTTATCGATTAATTATTCAAAACAAATTTTTATATACAAATATTTAAATGTATAAAATAATTAGAATTTAAACTATATTTAAAAAATAATTAATAACTACAAAATTTTTATTATTTGACTTTTGCTGCATCAATTTATTTTTTATTTGCGGTATTCTTAGAAATATAATGACTCTTCATTTAAGCATTAAATATCTAAAAAACAGTCAAGAGCATTTTTCTTTTGCTGCTGGATTGGTGGAGCTATCGTCAGTAGAAGTTTCAATAATTTTTCTTATTTTTCTTGTATATAGTATGTAAAAGCTATATGTGTATAGTCTTATATAGTATAGTAAACGGACAGTTTCTTGCAAACCTATCGACAACTCGTCGTGCTCGGTAATCTTAGCTTCTCTCCCGCGCAGAAACATGTATCTTGTGCACTCTTCTATCAGAAAAAAACCGGATACAGTGATATAATAAATACTAACTTTATCTAGTGAGATAATTAAAATTCAAGACGTGCAATCATCAATATTAATAGTAATCGTGATAAAATTTGATCGACCTTTCGAGATTTTGCTGAGAAACAAAATAAGATAATTTAATTTTATTATACTTTGTACTTGACATATCATATTGCATTTAATAAATAAGCAAAGGTGTGCATAAATTTAATGTTACATTTTTTAATTATTGAGAATTTAAAACTTATATGAGAAATAATAAACACTAAATTTGATTATCTAATTATTCGAATGTTCATTATTACGTGAAATAATGAGTGGAAAGGTATTTGCATTTCTGTGTTTCGTGCTTCTTCTCGTCATTTCGTCATCAAAATCGCAGCAAAATTCCACCAACGAAAATGATAATTTGACGATACGATACCAGATAAATACGGATTCTACAACAAATTATAACGACGAAATAATAACACTGCGACATGATTTGCATAAAAAGATTATGAATAATATAGAAAATGACAAAGAATTTCATACGAACGATAATCGCGAGGATAATGATTTGATTCAACATAAACGTTACAAACATTCAATGCACAATAAAAATGATGAGCAAAAATCGATAAAATCTAACACGAATTCGACAAATGTCAATCATAAAAGGAATTTCACGGCTCAGGGAGTTTATGAAAATGTAATTGAAAAGAATGATTCCATGTCACTTGAAGTCCTCAAAAATTCCAGCAAAGATGCTAATGAAACTATCATCGTCCCAAACGAAATGTGTCATAATGATACTTGCATTCGGCTCTGCTGTCCTCTTGACGATCGTTTGGTTCATGGCAACTGCATTCCTGAAGAAATTGAATACATTTTCCAAACGTATACACGAATGATTCGACGCAGAGCGAAAAGAGAGTGAACGAATTGTTTGAGCTGTCCATTTATGAATCGTGCCAGAAGATTACTATCTGATTCGTAAGGTTTTCAGTACGATTATAAGATTTTTACCAACGGTTCTGTTTATTTACCTCATGAAATATTACTTGAATCGACATTATATTGTCTCGTCGTCGTCGACGGGAATGAGTTCGAAGTAACCATTTGTTCCAAAACTTATGACAAGATCAAGGAGATTACTGATAATAAGTCTATGATTTATGACAAACAAATTATATATTCGAGTTTTCATATAGTATCTGTATTACTTTTGGGGTCAGTATTTCTGGTGTATTCCATATTGCCAGAACTCCGAAATGTACACGGCTTTATGTTGCGCAATTACAGCGGTGCCCTGATTGTTGATTACAGCCTTGACATTGTGAATGTTATGATCAGAGCGGATGATATACCGTATTCTGTTTGCGTTATAATAAGTAGAATATATATTTAAATTACTTATTTCTTGCTCCTTATATATTTCAACTAAAAATGCAAATTACATATTACATTTATATTTATATAAATAATATATTATTAATTATCAATACAGAGTGTCTTTATTCATTTTTGCAGCTTTCTTACACTACTTTTGTGCTTTGGCGAGTTTCTTTTGGCTAATTATGATAAGCTTTGATATGTGGTGGACATTCAGGTAAGTTGGAAAATATTCTATATTATTACTACTTATTTTTAACACTTGCCTTTCATTTATCTTTATAAAATTCTTTCTTTTTGATTTTACATATATCAGTTTAAAGATAAAAATGGAGAATATGCAAAATTCTGTATTAATTGAATTTTTTTATATATTGTGTTGGTACGTGCAAAAACAATTATATATTTGAAAATAATATATAATAATAGAACAATTATATTTAGAACATTATAAGTTAGAGTATAAAGATAATAGATTCAAATTATAATTTGAAATAAATAATTTTCTTGAATATTTTTTAATTGATTACAGATTTTTAAACGGTTAATTTTTTAAAAGAAAAAGTAGTGTATTAGATATAATAAGCATATTATATATTTAATTTAAATATGTATGAAATATTATAACGAAATCTAATAATTCGATATAATGCAATAATATTTTGATATTTAACTTTTCCTCTTTTTATTTATATTGCTTTATAAAATAAAGTAATACACGATATGTTTTCAGAAAATAAAAGTAGATTTTTTTTTTAAATTTGTCTTTTAAAAGTAAATAAAAATTTTAATATCATTGTCGTGTCTGCATAATAGTTATGTAAACAAACACTTTTAAAATAATTAAGGCATAAAAAAAGATAATAAAAAACAATTGTTCAAGAATTGGCAAACTTTAAATAGATATAACTTTGTTTCGAATAATGAGAATTTAAACTTTAAAAAAGAGTTTTAAAACGTGAAATCTCTACTTTCAGTGGTTTACATCTTTTTTCATTTTCTTAAATTTTGTTATTTTTTTATATACAAAAAACAAAAAACATAACGAAATGGAAAATTTTTTCTTACTTTGTAGACGTGTCGCATGCACAAAAAAATTTGAAAAATTTCTTGACATTTCCATGTTACAGTCTGAAGTTTTACGTGCAAAATTGTTTTTTAAAACGTAAATCCTGATTTTTCTTTATCAAAAGTTATCGCAAATTAAAGAGAAAATGTTATTTTTAATTTAATCGTTCATAACACCGTTAAAAATCATTGTACAGCAATTTTAAGAATGGATTCTTCAAGCTGAATCTTTGTTCTATAGTATGATATAGTGACTTTATCAAAAAAATTTTAACGTTTTACATTCTAATTTTTTTTATGAGTTGTTTGTTAAATATGTTGTGTAAATTGCAGAGGATTCAATTCGTTACGAAAAAACGTCAGACAACGAGAAAAAAGAAAGTTGATGTATTATACAATCTTTGCGTGGGGATGTCCTTTTTGTTTGCTATTTTATGTGTCAGCTTGGATATTCTTTCTGCGTATGTACCACGGATTTTGCGACCGGAATTTCATTTATATTGCTGGTTCATTGGTAAGTGAAGATAACTTTATTAATACTATAGCATTCTAATATTGTAAGAAACAGTATAAAAACTTATGATGTTTTATACTTACAGAAACTGGTCCGTTTGTGTTGTATTTATATGGGCTCCAAAGTATGTGCGTCATCAATAGCATTTGTTTATCTATTTATACGGCATTAAAAATTGCGCGTTTCAAAAGGAATCGGGTTCTTTTTTGAAAGATTCGGAGAGTAAATGCTTTAACGATAATAAAAATGGTATGTACTCAGATATCGTTGTATTGAGATATGATAATCTATTTTATTAATAAAATTTATGCTATTTATATTAACATTTATGCAAACAGCATCGCATAATTGATTGCTTCGCATTTTTTTTTTTTTTATAACAGAGAGGAATTAGCCGGAATTAATAACTAATCGTCTGATCGTATATTTAATTTTAAATCCGAGCTTAGTTGGTTGAATGGAATTTTATGTCAAAATCAGATTTAAAACAATATTAAATATAAATTCAGATTATGAATACTGGCCATAGATTGTCATTTGCAGATGACATCTTTTCTATTCGCCCATCACGTTTTTTATTTTGTATTATTTTCAAGAATATATCATTTACGTGTTTCTTCGAAAATTTATGCAATTTTAAACGAAATGACAATTAATAACAATAATCAAATTAATGACTGCACCTGTATTTCACAAAAATAAAAATTTAAAATATTCTCTCAAAAATTTCTTAAAGTTTATACATTAATTAAATTTTCTTCATCATATATATTTACAAGAACTATAAAAATTATATATTTGTTTGCAGGTTTAACCTATATCTGAAGCTATTTATCGTGCTGTTTATCGCAATGGGCATAGAATTGCTCGTGATAGCAGCGTACGAAACATTTAAAAATGTACCAATTTACTACATTGTATTGTATGTTGTTGATTCGCTGGACATTATGCAGAGTCTGTGCATCTTTGTCATATTTGTGTGTAAAAAAAGAATCAAGCGCATGTTATTCAAGCGATTCGGCTTTGATTTGTCGCCAAATGCTTGACACGGATCGAATGTAACATTGGCGAGCATTTTTACCACGTTAAAAGAAATAGTCATACAGGAGAAGATGAGTTCTTCCGGACGAGCAAGTCACACTGATTTAACCGACCTTTAATTTGTATTTGAAAATGGAAATCATGTTTATTTATGCTGATTTTTATGTTTAAGATTAATAATGATAATTCATACATATTTTCGGATTTCGTAGCAAAATTATATTATTTTATCTCGTTGCTTTTTCAAATTTAAATAAGATTACATGCTACAATCCTTGACATATATTTAAATATATGTAATATTGTTAATTGTAGTGGCTGATATTATTTTCAAATTTCAATATTTGTAGAACTTTAGAAAGCTGTTACAAAATTTACATGAAATTACTATAAGTTGTAATTATATATACAATATCGGACGTTTCGGATCAAAAGACACAACGGGCTGCCCATTTTTCACTTAAGAGTAGAGAGTCGTATTAGGGCTTAAATTTTAGCTTTTTTTACGTAGAAACGAATTAGAATTAGAAACGAACGTCTGGTGAATTTTGATAAATTTGAAATGAAATTATTTTGAAACTTTTTTTTTCGGCAAAAGTTGGGAGTGAAAAATTAAATGGCATCAGCGCCATCGGATCTTCCGCTATTTTTAATTCCTAATCAAATAAATACTCATGATATAACTCTCAAAGTTATGCACATCGAATATAAACCGGTTTTGGAATAAGTTTTGTTTTTACTTTATATGTGCAGACACTATACCTAATATGAGGATGTATAAGAGTTGGTGAAAAACGATAAACTGATATATTCCACATATAATTTTTCCTTTTAATAATTTTTTTGTAGTCTAAAGATAACAAACGAAATTAATAAAATTGTGAAATAAAGAAAATTTTTCTAACCCATGCGTTATCGATTAATTATTCAAAATAAATTTTATATACAAATATTTAAATGAATAAAATAATTACAATTTAATATACATTTAATAAAAAATTAATAACTACAAAATTTTTATATTTTTATTTTTCCTGCGTATCAATATATTTCTTATTGCGGTATTCTTAGAAATATAAACTCTTCATTTAATCATAAAAATTTAAAATACAGTCCAGAGTATCTTTTATTTCGCTGCTGAATTGGCCGAGTTATCGTCAGTAAAAGTTTAAGTGATTTAAAAAATTTTTTTTGTATATAGTATGTAAAAGCTATATGTGTATAGTCCTATAGAGTATAGTAAACGGACAGTTTCTCGCAAAGCTATCGACGACTCGTCGTCCTCGGTAGTCTCAGCTTCTCTCTCGCGCAGGCACATGTATCTTGTGCAGTCTTCTATCAGAAAAAAGTGAAAGCCGGATACATTGATATATTAATAATACTGACTTTATTTAGTGAGATAATTAAAATTCAAGACGTGCAATCATCAATATTAATAGTAATCGTGATAAAATTTGATCAACCTTTCGAAATTTTGCTGAAAACCAAAATAAGATAATTTAATTTTATTATACTTTGTACTTGACATATCATATTGCATTTAATAAAAAAGCAAAGGTGTGCATAAATTTAATGTGACATTTTTTAATTATTGAGAATTTAAAACTTATACGAGAAATTATGAACACTAAATTTGATTATCCAATTATTCGAATGTTTATTCTTACGTGAAATAATGAATGGAAAGATATTTGCATTTGTGTGTTCCGTGATTCTCCTCGTTATTTCGTTATCGAAATCGCAGCAAAATTCCACATACAGAGATGATAATTTGACGATACGATACGAGATAAATGTGGATTTTACAACAAATTATAACGACGAAATAATAGCACTGCGACATGATTTGCATAAAAAACTTGATGAATAATATACAAAATGACAAAATGCAGTATGAATTTCATATGAATAATAAACACGAGAATAATGATTTCATTCAACATAAACGTTACAAGCATTCAATGCAGAATAAGATGATGAGCAAAAATCGATCAATTCTAACACGAATTCGACATATGTTAATCATAAAAGTAATTTCACGGCTCAGGGAGTTTATGAAACTGTAATTGAAAAGAATGATTCCATGTCACTTGAAGTCTTCAACAATTCCAGCAAAGATGCTAATGAAACTGTCATCGTCCCAAACGAAATGTGTCATAATGATACTTGCATTCGGTTCTGCTGTTTTCTTGGCGAGCGTATCGTTAATGACAACTGCAGTCCTGAAGAATTTGAATACATTTTCCAAAGGTATACACGAACGATTCAACGCAAAGCGAAAAGAGAGTGAACGAATTGTTTGACCTGGCCATTTATGATACGTGCCAGGAAGATTACTATCTGCTTCCTGAAGGTTTTCAATACGATTATAAGATTTTTACCAACGGTTCTATATATTTACCTTATTATGAAATATTTGTTGAATCGTCATCATATTGTCTCGCCGTCGTCAACGGGAGTGAATTCCAAGTGATTTACTGTTCCGAAACTTATGACAAGATCGAGGAGATAACTGATAATGATGAGCCCTTGAATTCTGACGAAAATATTTTGAAAATAAGTGCCGATATAGTATGTATATTACTTTTGGGGTCAGTATTTCTGGTGTATTCCATATTGCCAGAACTCCGAAATAAACACGGCTTCATGTTGCGCAATTATAGCGGTGCCCTGACTGTTGCATACGGAATTGACTTTGTCAATGTAATCAAATCGAATGATGTACAGTATCATGTCTGCGTTACATTAGGTAGAATATATATCTAAATCATAAAAGTATGCAATTAATCTAGCGCATTTATGTTGTCAGATATTTAATGTATATTTGCACATTAATATTAACTAATAATTTTAATAATTATTTGAATATATTATTAATATATTATTTGTTAAAATCTTAAAAAGGCAAAACAGTGAATGACATTTAAATTTTATTTAAATACATTTTAATATATAATTAATATAAGTTATTCGTCTCAAATAGATATATTTCTTGTGTTTTTGCAGAACTACATATTGAATCGAACATGTTTATTTGATATTAGCAGTATTTATTACGTAAATATTACTATAGAATTTAGTGTAGGAAGTTGAAAAAAATCTATTTAATGGAGAAACATTAATATAATTTTGAGATCCTGAAATTTTAACGAGTAATGATAAATAATATATTATTATTTATTAATAATATAGAAATAAATAAGGAGCAGGAAATAGATCGGAAGAGCAACGCAAAGTAATTAAATCGCAAATACAAAGTTCCTTTATTAAAAGTTTTTTCTTAAATAAAGTTGTATTTGCGACTAAATTATATGTACTTCGCGTTGCTATTTTGGTCTATTTCCTGCTTCTTATTTATTTCTCAACTTTAAGAGCAAATTCCATATTACATTTATATTTACATTTTAATAATATTGTATTATTATTTTATAGTAATATTACAGCCTTTAATTTTATTCATTTTTAAAGCCTTTTTAAGATACCTTTGTTTTATGACGAGTTTCTTTTGGCTAAATATAATGAGCTTTGATATGTGGTGCACATTCAGGTAAGTTGGAAAATATTCTATATTTTTACTACTTATTGTTAACCTTTTATTTATCTTTATAAAATTCTTTTTTTTTATTTTACATATATCGGTTTAAAGATAAAGATAGAGAATATACAGGGTGTCCCATAATTCGCGAATCACCTTTTATTCAAGTAGAGCGTGTTAACTGAATAGAAAAGTCCTGTATCATTTTGCGATATTCGCAATAATTATTGAGTTATTAACTAAATTATCTAAACGAATGAACAGGTAGAAAGCGGTAGGCCGGACTCGGTGTGCATGTCGGATGACTTATTTGTTATATGCCGCTTAGTATCAAAAGTATCATCTTACCTTTCGGCGCCACTACATTGGTCGCCGCTCGCTGCATGACGCCGCTTCTCGATCAAATAATTAATAATGCTTTCTACCTGTTTATTCGTTTAGATATTTTAATAAATAACTCAATAATTATTGCGAATATCGCAAAATGATAAATAAATTTTCTATTCAGTTTAACACGCTCTATCTGCCCATGAAAGGTGATTCGCGAATTATGAGACACCCTATATAACATGCAAAATACTGTATTAATCGAATTTTTTTATATATTTTATACGTGCAAAAACAATTATAATTGACTTAGAATACTATAAGGTAGAGTATTAGGATAATAGGAGTATTAAATTATAAGTTGAAATAGTTTTCTTAAAGATTTTCATTAATTGATTACAGAGTTATTTTAAACGGTTAGTTTTTTAAAAGTAAAAATGACGTATTAGATGTAATAAGCATATTATATATTTAATTTAAAATTTGATATAATGCAATAATATTTTGATTTGACTTTTTTCTCTTTTAATTTATAAAATAAAGCAATACACGCGATAACTTTTTACAAAATAAAAATAGATTTTTTATCAAAATTTGTCTCTCAAAATTAAATAAAAATTTAAAGTATTATCGTCGTGCCTGTATAATAGTTATATAAATATACACTTCTTAAAATAATTAAGGCATGACAAGAAAAACAATTGTTCAAAAATAGGCAAACTTTAAATAGTTGTAACTTTGTTTCGAATAATGAGCATTTAAATTTTAAAAAAGAGTTTTAAAGCTAAAAATCTCTGCTTTCAATGGTTTACAGCTTTCTTCATTTTCTTAAATTCTGATATTTTTTATATACAAAGAACGAAAAAACATAAAGAAATAGAAAATTTTATTCTCACTTTGTAGACGTATCCCGTGCACAAAAAATTTGAAAAATTTCATGACATTTCCATGTTACAGCCTGAATTACTCCATGCAAAATTGTTTTTTAAAATGTAAATGTCGATCTTTACTTATAAAGTTATCGCAAATTGAAGAGAAAATGTCATTTTTACTTTAATCGTTTATATAACGTCGTTCAAATAATAGTACAGCAATTTTAAGAATGGATTCTTCAAGCTGAATCTTTGCTCTATAGTATGATATAGTGACTTGATCAAAGACCCATTATTTTGACGTTTTTACAGTCTAATTTCTTTTATCTATTGTTTGTTAAATATATTGTGTAATTTACAGAGAATTCTATTCGTTACAAAGAAACGGCAGACAACGAGAAAAAAGAAAGTTGATATATTATACGATTTTTGCGTGGGGATGTCCCTTTATGCTCGCTATTTTATGTGTCAGCATGGATTTTCTTTCCGAGTATGTAAATGTACCACCGATTTTGCGACCGGAATTTTATTTATATTGCTGGTTCATTGGTAAGTGAAGATAACTTTATTAATACTATAGCATTCTAGTATTGTGAGAAACAGTATAAAAACTTATGATATTTTATACTTACAGAGACTGGTCCGTATATGTTGTATTATCATGGGATCAGAAGTATGTGCATCATCTTTAGCATTTGTTTTTCCATATCTACGGCATTAAAAATTGCGCGTTGCAAAAAGGATACGAGTCTTCGTCTGCAAAATTCGGAGAGCAAGTGCTATAACGATAATAAAAAATGGTATGTACTGAGATATAGTTGCATTGAGACATGATAATCTATTTTATTAATGAGATTTATGTTAATTTTATCAACATTTATGCAAACAGCGTCGCATGATTGATTAATTCGCATTTTTATAAAAGAAACAAATAGGCCGGTATTAATAATTAATAGTCCGAGCTTATATTTAATCTTAAGTCCGAGCTTGATTGGGCAAATGGATTTTTAAATCAAAATGAGAGATTTAAAACGATATTAAATATTAATTCAGATTATAAATACCATAGATTATTATTCGTAGACAACGTTTTTTTATTCGTCGATTTACTTTTTTAAATTTGTAATATTTTCAAGAATATATCACTTAACGCGTTTCTTCAAGAACCTATTCAATTCTAAACAAAATGACATTTAATAACGAAAATCAAATTAATGAATGTACCTGTATTTTACAAAAATAAAAATTTTTTACTTAGCTTATATATTAAATCAATTTCATGCATTATTTATTCACCAGAACTATGAATATTATATATTTGTTTGCAGGTTTAATCTATATCTGAAGATATTTATTGTGCTGTTTATCGTAATAGGCATAAGATGTCTTATGATAACAGCGGATGAATTATCTGGAAATGTATCAATTTACAATGCGTATGTTATTAATTTGTTGGACATTATGCAGAATCTATGCACCTTTATCATCTTTGTGTGGAGAAAATAGATCAAGTGCATGTTATTCAAGCGATTCGCCTGCGGTTTGTTGCCAAAATTCGATCTGAATCGAATGCAACATTGTCGAGCATTCTTACCACGTCAAAAGCAAAAATCATGCGGGAGAAGATGATTTCTTCCGGACGAGCAAGTAGTCACAGTGATAAGATCGACCTTTAATTTTTATTTGAAAATTAAAATCATGTTTATTTGTATTGATCTTTATGTTTAAGATTAATAATTATAATTCGCACATATTTTCGGATTTCGTAGCAAAAGCATATTTTGTCTCGTTTCTTTTTCAAATTCAAGTGATATTATGTTACATTTTTTGACATACATATTTATATTATTGATAATAGTAGGCTGATATCATTTTCAATTTTTTTAATATTAGTAGAACTTCAGAAAGCTGCTACAGAATTTGCATGAACTTACTATAAGTTGTTATTACGTATCAAATAAAAATATGTTCATTTATTAATATTATAAATTGTAATAAAAATTTATAATATTAGTATAATTTTAATAATCATAATTAAATATTTTAATAACATATTATTGTAACTAGTATTAGTAATTAGTATTGTATTATTTATAATTGTAATCTTAGATTTTTTATGATCTCAATAATTCGGTGTAGCTTACCATTTTTTTCTAATATAATTTACATTATAGTAATTACGAGTATTTGTTTCAATTATTAATTTTGAAGAAATCAATGAAATTTTTGTAAAATATTTTTTTTTCTTGGTAAAAGTTGAGAGTGAAAAATTAAATGGCATCAGCGCCATCGAATCTACCGCTATTTTTAATTCCTAATCAAATAAATGATCATGATATAACTCTCATAGTTATGCACATCGAATGTAAACCGGTACTGAAATAGGTTTCGTTTTGACTTTATATGTGCAGGCATTATACCCAATATGATAATGTATAAGAGTTGGCGAATAACGATAAACTGATATATTCAACATAATTTTCCTTGTTAATAATTTTTTTGTAGTCGAAAGATAACAAATGGGATTAATAAATTTGTGAAATAAATAAAATTTTTCTAACCCATGCGTTATCGATTAATGGTTCAAAACAAATTTTTATATACAAACATTTAAATAAATAAAATAATTACAATTTAATATACATTTTACAAATAATTAATAACTACAAAATTTTTATTATTTGATTTATGCTCGTATCAATTTAGTTCTCATTTGCGGTATTCTTAGAAATATGAAGACTCTTCATTTCAGACATTAAATATCTAAAAAACAGTCAAGAGTATTTTTTCTTTCGCTGTTGGATTGAGCGAGCTATCGTTAGTAGAAGTTTCAATAATTTTTTTTTATTTTCCTTGTGTATAGTATGTAAAAGCTATATGTGTATAGTCCTATATAGTATAGTAGACGGACAGCTTCTCGCGAAGCTATCGACGACTCGTTGTCCTCGGTGGTCTCAGCTTCTCTCCCGCGCAGTCACATGTATCTTGTGCATTCTTCTATCAGAAAAAAGTGAAAGCCGGATACATTGATATATTAATAATACTGACTTTATTTAGTGAGATAATTAAAATTCAAGACGTGCAATCATCAATATTAATTGTAATCGTGATATAATTTGGTCGACCTTTCGAAGTTTTGCTGAGAAACGAAATAAAATAATTTAATTTTATTATACTTTGTACTTGACATATTTTATTGCATTTAATACAAAAGCAAAGGTGTGCATAAATTTAATGTTACATTTTTTAATTATTGAGAATTTAAAACTTATACGAGAAATTATGAACACTAAATTTGATTATCCAATTATTCGAATGTTTATTCTTACGTGAAATAATGAGTGGAAAGATATTTGCAATTGTGTGTTCCGTGCTTTTCCTCATCATTTCGTTATCGAAATCGCAGCAAAATTCCACCAACAGAGACGATAATTTGACGATACGATACGAGATAAATGTGGATTCTACAACAAATTATAACGACGAAATAATAACACTGCGACATAATTTGGATAAAAATTTGATGAATAATACACAAAATTACAAAATGCAGCATGAATTTCTTATGAATAACAATCGCGAAGATAATGATTTGATTCAACATAAACGTTACAAGCATTCAGTGCAGAATAAAGATGATGAGCAAAAATCGATGAAATCTGACACGAATTCGACAAATGTCAATCATGAAAGAAATTTCACGCCGCAGAAAGTTTATGAAAATGTAATTGAAAAGAATGATTCCATGTCACTTGAAGTCTTCAAAAATTCCAGCAAAGATGCTAACGAAACTAATATCGTCCCAAACGAAATGTGTCATAATGATACTTGCATCCGGTTCTGCTGTTTTTTTGGCGAGCGTATTGTTGATGACAACTGCAGTCCTGAAGAATTTGAATACATTTTTCCAAAGATATACACGAACGATTCAACGCAAAGCGAAAAGAGAGTGAACGAATTGTTTGACCTGTCCATTTATGATACGTGCCAGGAAGATTACTATCTGCTTCCTGAAGGTTTTCAATACGATTATAAGATTTTTACCAACGGTTCTATATATTTACCTTATTATGAAATATTTGTTGAATCGTCATCATATTGTCTCGCCGTCGTCAACGGGAGTGAATTCCAAGTGACCTACTGTTCCGAAACTTATGACAAGATCGAGGAGATAACTGATAATGATGAGCCCTTGAATTCTGACAAAGATATTTTGAGAATAAGTGCCGATATAGTATCTATATTACTTTTGGGATTAGTATTTCTAGTGTATTCCATATTGCCAGAACTCCGAAATCTACATCTTCATGTTGCGCAATTACAGCGGTGCTACGTGCCTTGCGTACGGAATTGACGTTGTAATGATCAAATCAAATGGTGTACAGTATCACGTCTTCGTTACATTAGGTAGAGTATATATCTAAGTCATAAAACTGTTCAATTAATATAGCGCATTTATATTTGTCAGATATTTAATGTATATTTGCATATTAAATATTAATTAATAGTTTTAATAATTATTTGAATATATTATTTGTTAAAATCTTAAAAATGCATAACAGTGAATGACACTTAAATTTTATTTAAATACATTTTAATATGTAATTAATATAAGTTATTTTTTTCAAATAGATATATTTCTTTGTGTTTTTGAATTTTGCAGAACTACATATTGAATCGAACATGTTTAATTTGATATTAGCAGTATTTAATACGTAAATATTACTATTAAATTGAGTGTAGGAAGTTAAAATAAATCTATTTTACTGGAGAAACATAAATGTGATAGCTTTGAGATTTTAAAATTTTAACGAGTAATGACAAATAATGTATTATATTTATTAATAATATAGAAATAAATAAAGATCAGAAAATAGATTAAAAGAGCAACGCGAAGTAATTAAGTTGCAAATACAAAGTTTCATTATTTAATGAAAAAATTTTTATTAAATAAAATTGTATTTGCGACTAAATTATATGTACTTCGCTTTGCTATTTTGGTCTATTTCCTGCTCCTTATTTATTTCTTAACTATAAGAGCAAATTATATATTACACAATTATATTTATATTATTAATATTATATATTATTATTTATTATTAATTATTACATTAATTATTACTTTAATTTTATTCATTTTTAAAGCTTTTCTAAGATACCTTTGTTATATGGCGGCTTCCTTTTGGCTAAATATAATAAGCTTTGATATGTGGTGCACATTCAGGTAAGTTGGAAAATATTCTATATTTTTATTACTTACTTTTAACACTTGCCTTTCATTTATATTCATAAAATTCTTTGATTTTGATTTTACATATATTGGTTTAAAGATAAAGATAGAGAATATATAATAAACAAAATTTTTTGTATTAATCAAATTTTTTTTTTATATTATCATATTGGTACGTGCAAAACAACTATATTTGACTGAGGACATTATAAGTAAGAGCATTAAGAGATAATAGATTCAAATTATAATTTAAAATAAATAGTTTTCTTAATGATTCTTATTAATTGATTACAGAGTTTTAAACGATTTATTTTTTAAAAGTAAAATTGGCGTATTAGATCTAATAAGCATATTATATATTTAATTTAAATATGTATAAAATATTATAACAAAATCTAATAATTCAATATAACCCAGTGAGAAATGATGGTCGAATCGACGTCGATTCGTTATCGAATTGATGTAAAATTCGTCGAATCAGTGTCGAATCGATGACGATCATTTTTCGTTGGGAATGCAATAATATTTTGATTTGACCTTTTTTTCTTTCAATCGTAGTCAATCGAACTCGTGTAGAGAGATCTTGCTCTAATTTATTAATGTATATCAGGCGACAGTCAGGATCAAGATGCGGAGCGTCAACGTTAATAAGATTGAGGGAATCGTCGTATATGTATATTGCTCTGTTTATTGCGAATTGATTTTTCTGCGGCGTCCGAAGAAAGAAGTTCGCACTTTTCCGAAAGTTTCGAGATTTTTATACACGCGTTACACATATATGAGCTACTATTCTAAACGACCGGCCAATTACAGCCGTTTTATAATTCGGAACAGAGGCGGTTATTCCTTCGATTCTCTTACAAAGGAGCTCTCAATTCTCACAAGCGCAAAACAAATATTATTTTATAACAAAGATATGATATACCTTTAAAGACACGATATACCTATAAAGAAAATCGAACAACACAACATAGCCGGTTAACGACTTCTCACTATCTCTCGCGAACTTACATAAAATGCCTACACAATTTATAAAATATATAGCAATACACGATAACTTTTACAAAATAAAAATAGATTTTTTTATTAAAAATTTAAAATTCGTCTCTCAAAAGTAAATAAAAATTTAAAGTACCATTGTCGTGTCTGCATAATAGTTATGTAAATATACACTCTTTAAAATAATTAAGGCATAAAAAGACAATTGTCCAAAAATAGGCAAACTTTAAATTGTTGTAACTTTGTTTCGAATATAAGCATTTAAATTTTAAAACAGAATTTTAAAGCTTGAAATCTCTGCTTTCAATGGTTTACAGCTTTCTCCATTTTCTTCAATTCTGATATTTTTTATACATATAACATTGTTTACAACACCGTTCAAAATCATCGTACAGCAATTTTAAGAATGGATTCTTCAAGCTGAATCTTTGTCTCTGTATGATATAATGACTCGATCAAAAACACATTATTTTAACATTTTGCCATTCTGATTTTTGTTATCAATTGTTTGTTTAATATGTTGTGTAAATTGCAGAAAATTATGTTCGTTACAAAGAAACGTCAAACAACGAGAAAAAAGAAAGTCGATATATTATACAATCTTTGCGTGGGGATGTCCCTTTATGCTTGCTATTTTATGTGTCAGTATGGATTTTCTTTCCGAGTATGTAAATGTACCACCGATTTTGCGACCGCAATTTCAATTTTATTGCTGGTTATTCGTAAGTGAAGATAACTTTATTAATACTATAGCATTCTAGTATTGTGAGAAACAGTATAAAAACTTATGATATTTTATACTTACAGAGACTGGTCCGTATATGTTGTATTATCATGGGCTTAAAATTATATGCATGATCTTTAGCATTTGTTTGTCTATATCTACGGCATTAAAAATTGCGCGTTACGAAAAGGATACGAGTCTTGGTCTGAAAAATTCGGAGAGCAAGTGCTATAACGATAATAAAAAATGGTATGTACTGAGATATCGTTGCATTGAGACATGATAATTTATTTTATTAATGAGATTTATGTTAAATTTATCAACATTTATGCAAACAGCGTCGCATGATTGATTAATTCGCATTTTTTTATAAAAGAAACAAATAGGCCGGTGTTAATAATTAATAGTCCGAGCTTATATTTAATCTTAAGTCCGAGCTTGATTGGGCAAATGGATTTTTAAATCAAGATGAGAGATTTAAAACGATATTAAATATTAATTCAGATTATAAATATCATAGATTATTATTCGTAGACAACGTTTTTTCTATTCGCCGATTTACTTTTTAATTTTGTAATATTTTCAAGAATATATCACTTAACGCGTTTCTTCAAGAACCTATTCAATTGTAAACAAAATTACATTAAATAACTAAAATCAAATTAATGATTGCACCTGTATTTCACAAAAATAAAAATTTTAAACTCTTTTAAAAATTTTTAAGGTTTATACATCAATTAAATTTTATTCGTTATATATATATTTTTAAACCTTGAAAAATTCTTAAAAAGTTTAAAATTTTTATTTTTGTGAAATACAGGTGCAATCATTAATTTGATATATATATATATATATATATATATATATATATTCACAAGAATTATATATTTGTTTGCAGGTTTAATCTTTATCTGAAGATATTTATCGTGCTGTTCATCTTAATGGGAATAAAATGGCTTATGATGACAGCGCATGTATTATCTGCAATGGTATCAATTTATAACTGGTATGTTATTTATTTGCTGGACATTATGCAAAATCTGTGCACCTTTATCATATTTGTGTGGAGAAAATAGATCAAGTGCATGTTATTCAAGCGATTCGCCTGCGGTTTGTTGTCAAAAGCTTGACACGGATCGAATGCAACATTGTCGAGCATTCTTACCATGTCAAAAGAAATAGTTATGCAGGAGAAGATAAGGTCACACTGATAGCATTGAATTTTATATTTTATTTGAAAATTAAAATCATGTTTTTTTTATTAAAGTGAATTTAAATTTACTACACTGACTAATAATAAAAAGTTATTTATTAATTATGCAACGTTTCGACCTTGTAATAGGGTTTTTTTCAGGCTATAATATTGAAACAAGTAGTCGTAAATACGAAGAAAAGAAAAACGCAACAATTTTTTCCGTATAATTTACGTAACTCATAATAAAATTACGAATAAGAAAACACATTACCCATAAATTCGATGTAAAAGGTTACATAATGTGCATAATATTGATTGAGACTTATTTAAAAAATGTAAGGCTCCTTGAAAGAAAAACAAAACAAATTAATAGATTAAAAGATAATAAAAATAAAAAATAATAATAAAACTTTTAATTCGATAACGTATGTTTTTTTTATATTGATCTTTATGTTTAAGATTAAAAATTATAATTCACTCATATTTTCGAATTTCGTAGCAAAACCATATTATTTTGTCTCGTTTCTTTTCAAATTCAAACGAGATTATATGTTACATTTCTTGACATAAATATTTTTAAAATTGTTAATTGTGGGCTGATATACAGGGTGTCCCATAATTCGCGAATCACCTTTTATGGGCAGATAGAGCGTGTTAAACTGAATAGAAAATTCATGTATCATTTTGCGATATTCACAATATTATTGAGTTATTTATTAAAATATCTAAACGAATAAGCAGGTAGAAAGCATTATTTGATCGAGAGACGGCGTCATGCAGCGAGCGGCGACCAGTGTAGAGCGCGAAAAGTAAGATGATACTTTTGATACTAAGCGGCATATAACAAATAAGTCATCCGACATGCACACCGAGTCCGCCTACCGCTTTCTACTTGTTCATTCGTTTAGATATTTTAGTTAATAACTCAATAATTATTGCGAATATCGCAAAATGATACAGGACTTTTCTATTCAGTTTAACACGCTCTATCTGCCCATAAAAGGTGATTCGCGAATTATGGGACACCCTGTATATTATTTTCAATTTTTAATATTTAAACTTTAGGAAACTGCTACAAAATTTGCATGATATTACTATAAGTTGTTATTATACATATATCAAATAACAATATGTTCATTCATTAATATTATGAATTGTAATAAAAATGCACAATATTAGTATAATTTTTATAACTTAATTAAACATTTTATCATAAGATTATTGTAACAATGATACTTAAATAATTAAAATCTTAGAATTTTTATGATCACAATGATTCGGTGTAGCTTATTATTTTCTCTAATATAATTTACATTTTAGTAATTATTAGATTCAATTATTGATTTTGAGAAATCAATGAAATTTCTTCGAAAGATTTTTTTTTCGGCAAAAGTTGAATGTGATAAATTAAATAGCATCAAGGCCATCGAATCTACTGCTATTTTTAATTCTTAATTAAATAAATGACCATAATATAACTCTGAAATTTATGCAAAGCACGTCGAATATAAACCGGTTTTGAAGTAGATTTGGTTTTGACTTTATATGTGCAGGCATTATACCTAATATGATGATGTATAAGAGTTGGCGAATAACGATAAACTGATATATTCCATATGATTTTCTTTTTTAATAATTTTTTTGTAGTCTAAAGATAACAAATGAGATTAATAAATTTGTGAAATAAATAAAATTTTTCATACGATGCGTTATCGATTAATTATTCCAAAGAAATTTTTATATACAAATATTTAAATAAATAAAATAAGTATAATTTAATATAAAGAAAGTTGGCAAATTTCGCCCATGTTTGGGATATCGAATTTTAAATGTTTTTTCATGGCAAATAGTACTATTAGATGAAACATTAATCTCAGTAAAGTTCAAGATGAACATGGACACGGTTCCGAAGATACAAGGGGGTAAAGGTAATGAGTTTTAATCAGAGATAAGAAAACATCACTGTCATTTCTTCATATCTCCGTGCCTTGCACGAGATGCTTATCTCGAAATTTCTGAGATTTGCCTCATCATATATTACTACTTGACATAACAAAAGTTTGAAATTTGAGGCCCCAAAATTTATATAGAAAATATTTAACTGAGTAAAATAATTACAATTTAATACACATTTAAAAAATAATTAATAACTACAAAATTTTATTATTTGACTCTTCCTGCGTATCAATTTATTTCTTATTTCGCGATATTCTTAGAAATATAAAGACTATTTATTTAAGCATTATTAAAATGTAAAAAACAGTCAAGAGTATTTTATTATCTTGCTGCTTTGTCAAGCTATCAACAGTAAAAGTTTTAATAATTTTTTTTATTTCTTTGTATATAGTATATAGTATGTTAAAGCTATAATATATGTGTATAGTATTCCTATGTGTATAGTATCCTATAATAAAAAAACGCAGTTTCTCGCAATCTCGACGACTCGTCGTCCTCGGTAGTCTCGTTTCCTCTGCACTGGCAGATGTATCTTGTGTATTTCTCTTAGAAAGAAGCCGGATACAGTGATATAATACTAACTTTATCTAGTGAGATAATTAAAATTAAATACGTACAATCATTAATATTAATAATAATCGTGCTAAAATCTAATCGACCTTTCGAGATTTTGCTGAGAAATAGAATAAGATCATTTAATTTTATTATATTTTCACTTAAACATTTTATTGCAATTAATACAAAAGCAAAGGTATATGTAGAAATATGACATTTTTTAATTATTGAAAATGTAATACTTGTATGAGTAATTGTGAACACTAAATTTGATTATCAAATTATTCGAAAGTATATTCTACATAAAGTAATGAGTGGAAAAATGTTTGCATTTGTGTGTTCCGTCCTTCTCCTCGTCATTTCGTTATCAAAATCGCAGCAAAATTCCACCAACAGAGATGATAATTTGACGATACAATACGAGATAAATACGGATTCTACAACAAATTATAACGACGAAATAATAACCCTGCGACATGATTTGCATAAAAATTTGATGAACAATACACAAAATGACGAAATGCAGCATGAATTTCATATGAATACTAAACGCGAGATTTGATTGAACTTAAACTGAACAAGCATTCAATGCAGAATAACGATGATGAGCAAAAATCGATGAAATCGAACACAAATTTGACATATGCCAATCATAAAAGAATTTCACGGCTGAGGAAGTTTATGAAACTGTAATTGAAAAGAATGATTCCATGTCACTTGAAGTCTTCAAAAATTCCTAGCAAAGATGCTAATGAAACTATCATCGTCCCAAACGAAATGTGTCATAATGATACTTGCATTCGGTTCTGCTGTTTCTGGCGATCGTCTGGTTGTAAGCAACTGCACTCATGAAGAAATTGAATACATTTTCCAAAAGTATACATGAACGATTCGACGCAGAGTGAAAAGAATCTGAACGAATTGTTTCAACTGGCTATTTATGATTCGTGCAAGGGAAGTCATTCTCTGTCCCCAGAGGTTTTCAGTACGATTATAAGATTTTTACCAACGGTTCTATATATTTATCTTATGATGAAATATTTGTTGAATCGACATCATATTGTCTCGCCGTCATCAACGGGAATGAGTTCGAAGTAACCATCTGTTCCAAAACTTATGACAAGATCATGAAGATAACAACTAATGAGATCATGAATACTATTACAAACAAAGATATTATGGAAATAAGTGTCGATATAGCATCTATATTACTTTTGGGATCAGCATTTCTGGTGTATTCCATATTGCCAGAACTTCGAAATAGACACGGCTTCATGTTGCGCAACTACAACGGTGCCCTGACTGTAGCATACGGAATTCGCTTTGTGCATTTTCTGATCAAATCGGATATACAGTATTCCGTCTGCGTTACAATAGGTAGAGTATATATCTAAATAATGAAACTATGCAATCAATATATTTATATTTGTCAGATATTTCATGTATATTTGCATATTAAAGTTAATAATAATTTTAATAATTATTTGAATATATTATTGTTAAAAATCTATTAAAAAAGAGAGCAAAACAGTGAATGGATTAAATTTTATTTAAATGCATTTTAATATATTATTAATATGAGTTATTTGTCTCAATAGATATATTTCTTGGGTTTTGAATTTTGTAGAATTACATATTGAATCAAACATGTTTAATTTAATATTAGCAGTTTTATTACATAAATATTACTATAAATTTAGTGTAAGAAGTTAAAGTAAATCTATTTTAATGGAGAAACATATAACATGTGATAAACAATGAAATCTGCAATTTTAACCTGAGTATAATGATAACAATTATATATTATATATTTATTAATAATAATATTTATGATAATATATATATTTATTTAATAGTTCATTATAAGATTTTATATAATATCTTATTATTTTTTT